ATAAATAAATAAATAAATAAAAATACATAGATTAATTTTGATTTAAAAAAGTATTCAGATCAATAAACTCTCCTCCAGTTGTTTGTAAAAAAAAAATTACAATCACAAAATGGAGGCCAACCACACGATTCTGGGAATCATGGCCCAGCCAAATTGATACACACATTTTTTGGGGGACATAATTCAAACCATGACACTCTTATTTTCCTGAAATTTACCCCTCAATCTTTATGGGAGGTGTTTTTACTGTCGAGTCCAAACTCTTCATTATTTTAAGAATTCCAATCCTTCCCCTATTGTATCCTTTAACTCTACAGACCAATTTAAAACTAATAGATCTTTACAAGTACCTTCCAGGAAGGATGGGGTAGGGGACTAATAATGAGCATCTCCTGGGTGCCTGTTTTAGGGTGTGAGGACAGGTTTAGGTTTGTTAAATAAGTCTCAGTGGCAGAGCTGGGAAGTGAATCCAGGCCGATCTGATACCAAATTCAGTTCATAATCTGTCAGTCCGCACTACTTTCCTCCAGCCTGTCCGTGGTTCTGTTATCTGGTGGTTTGGGGTTTCTTTTGTTGTTCATTTGTTTTTGGTCTCCATGTGGCCATCCTGCTGGCCCTTGACCATTTTACGTGCTTCTAAAAGTGACATCGTAAGCGTGACAAAGGACCTCTATACAGCAGGGCAGGTGCAGCTGCCTGAGGTTCTTCCTAACCTTCTTAACATTTCGGGTTGTAATTAATACTATTCCTCATGATGCTGAGCCACAGATCCTTTTTTCTTTTTCTTTTTTATTGTGGTAGATATATATATAACAACATTTGCCATTTCAACAATCTTCACACGTACAGTTCATTGACCTTAATTATGTTGATCATGTTGCTTGACCATCACCCTTACCTGGTCCCAAATTTTACCATCACCCTAACAGAAGCGCAGTGTCCCCTAAGCATTGAATCCTCCTTCCCCCTCTCCCACCCTGGTAACTACCACTCAGACCCTTTCTTGTTTGGTAGTGGATTGGTGAGAGTTTATCACCCTGTTAGGATTGGAGTCATTTGCCATCATTTCCCAGTTCTTGCCCACATTGAATCTATGGGCCATTTTTCTGTCTGCTTACTGTCTTGAAGCTTCTTGTAATTCATCCTCATTGGCTTGGATTTGTATTCCCTGGAAAAGCTTAGTGTCATTTTCATGCTTGGGTAGTGCTCTGTATTCCCCACCCTCCAGTTTCTTTTTTTTTAATTTACAAAATTTAGGGTGATGGTTTCATGAGATGCCCCAGTTAATTAGCCTAATAACATGTTCAGTGCTTCTGTTCTACCTCCTAGTTATGTAGTGCCTGGGGTCTTAAAAGCTTGCAAGCAGCCATTCAAGGCATGACAATTGGTCTCTATTCACCTGGAGCAACAAAGACAGGCAGTCAGGAATAGGAGGAAATGGAATGTGTAGCTAATTGCCTCCATGAACAACTGCCTCCTTTGCCATGAGACCAGAAGACCTGGATGGTGACTAGCTACCATTACTGAACATTTTGATCAAAGATTCTATAGAAGAACCCTGATGAAAAGAGGGAAAATGCAGAACAGAATTTCAAATTTTCATGGACTCTAGACTTTCTGGAGCCATAGAGGGTAGATAAACCCCTGAAACTATTACCCTGATATTATCTTTAAACCTTAAACCAAAAATATCCCCTGAAGTCTTCTTAAAACCAAACAATAGTTTACCTTAACTAGTAAAAAAGGTCTGCCTTGAGCAATATGCTCTTCTAAGAACTATCTATAGGGGATCAAATTGACAACAGCAACTCAAAAGACTAGATAGGAACCTTAGGGGGCAATGAGTTTATGTTAATGAGTGTTATGGATTGAATTGTGTCCCCCAAAAATGTGTGTCTAGGCCATGATTCCCAGTATTATGTGATTGTCCACCATTTTGTCATCTAATGTGATTTTCCTAGGTGTTGTAAATCCTGCCTCTATGATGTTAATGAGGCAGCATTAGAGGCAGTTATGTTAATGAAGCAGGACTCAATCTACAAAATTAGATTGTGTTTTGAGTCAACCTCTTTTGAGATATAAAAGAGAGCAGCAAGCAGAGAGACAGGGGGACCTCATACCACCAAGAAACAAGAGCCAGAGAACAGCGTGTTCTTTGGACCCAGGGTCCCTGTGCTGAGAAGCTCCTTGACCAGGGAAGATGGATGAAAAGGACCTTTCCCCAGAACCGACAGAGAGGGAGCCTTCCCCTGGAGCTGGCACCCTGAATTTGGACTTCTAGCCGCCTAGACTGTGAGAGAATAAATTTCTCTTTGTTGAAGCCATTCACTTGTGGTATTTCTGTTATAGCAGCACTAGATAACCAAGACAATGAGGGAGGAATAACTCAGAAAAGAAGGGTGAAAGTGATTGTACAACTCGAAGAACGTAGTCACTGTCACTAAGTTGTACATGTAGAAAATGTTCAAAAAAGAAAAAGAATGTTGACAGACTGTGATAAATGTAATGTCACTGAACAATTCGTGTGGAAACTGTCAACTTTCCTGTGTAAACGTTCACCAAAAATTCAATACAATATTATTTTTAAAAAAAACTACAGAAAAGTACAAAAAAACCTCATAAAACCCATATATTTTCCACCCAAGTTTAGTAAATGTTAACATTTTATTACTGTGTCAAGTTTTTTAATCAAAGAAGAAATAAAAATGTTACAGATAAGGTGGAAGTCTATCTCGTTCCCCTCCCTAGAGGCAACCACTGTGATACTTTCACTATAACATATAGTATTGAGTTTTTAATTTTTGTGTATCACATGAATGTAACTTGCTCTTTTCCATTCAGTATTCTTTTTGAGATCTAATCATGCTGATACGTGTGCCCAGCACTGTTCTAGGCACTGGGGATACAAGAGAAGAAAACAAAGTCCCTTTCCTTGTGGACTCTTCATTCTGGGGCACTGGAAAGGGATATGTGGTATGAATGTACTGTAATTTATTTAGTGTTTCCCCTATTGATGGGCCTTTAAAATGTGTTTCCATTACAAACAATGCTGCAAAGAGCACCTCTGTATGTGTTTCCTTGTACGTATATACTATGTACATAGTTCGCAACCTTTTTCTTAAAGGGCCAAATAATACTTTAGGCTTATGGGCCATATGGCCTCTGGTGCAACTACTCAGCTCTGCCTTTGTAGCCCAAAACCCTCCATAAACACTATGTAAATGAATTATTTATGGACTCTGGAATTTGAATTTCGTATTATTTTTATGTGTCATGAAATAGTCTTCTTTTGATTTTTTCTTTTCCCAGCCACTTAAAAGTGTCAAAAACCATTCTTAACTCTGGGTATACAAAAACAGGAAGCAGGCCAGATTTAGCAGGTCATGTCTGTTGACCTCTACTGTAAGTCACCTGAGAGGCAGAATTACTTGGCCACAGGATATGCCCATTTCCATCTTGACTAGTGTGGTACAATGGATCACTTTTGTGTGGCCTTTCTTGATGTGGTCTTGTAGCTCCCACCCAAATGACTGGGTGGACTGTGCAAATAGGAGCTCTGGTGGCACTTTGGTTAAGAGCTACGGCTGCTAACCAAAAGCAGTTCGAATCCACCAGCTGCTCCTTGGAAACCCTATGGGGCAGCAGTTCTACTCTGTCCTAAAGGGTCCCTATGAGTCGAAACTGACTCCACATCAACAGGTTTGGTTTGGTTTGGTTTGGAAGGGGATTGCTAAGTTTTGCCAGCCCACTGGGCTTGAAATGAGCCATCCCAGAGGTAGGAAAGACAGGATCTCGCCACCACCAAGGAAGACGAGCCAAGAACGGAACGAGTCCTTTGGACCCAGGATCTTTGCACTGAGAAGCTCCTGGAACCAGGACACCTAGAGAGAGAGAGCTGTAACACTAAATACGGTGAGAAGTAGTGGCAGAGAAACAGAGGCAGGAGAGACTGGCAGGAGACACAAAGTGGGCTTCCCTGCCCACAGAGCAAGAAAGCTGAGCGCCTTTGGGCCAAGGCTTACTGGCAGAGTGGGGTGCCTCTGGGCACTTACTGGCAGACCTATAAGACCTTTGTAACACTTGCCCAAACAGAGCAGAGGCCGAGAGGCCAGAGAGAGGCGTGCTTTCGGCACGGCTGGGAATAGGCTGTCCTGATGGAAGAACTGTATCCTGAGTGTTCCTGAACCTGAATTGTAACCTGTTACTTCCCTAATAAATCCCATAATTGTGAGTATTGTCTGCGAGTTCTGTGTGGCCAATGCATGAATTATCGAACTCAGCAGAGAAGTAGAGAGTGCCATGGGAGGGACAGTTGGTGTCAGAATTGTTAAAGATGGCGGAGAGGAGGCATGTCTGACCACCACCTCACAGAGAGGAGGCATGTCTGACCACCACCTCACAGAGATCAGCCTTAGGCTGTTTATCTTGGTCCTCCTTCTTCCTTATAATGTTAGAGGAGGTCAGATGCTGCCCCCATGCCATTTTTACAACTACATACTACTAAGTTGCCCTCCAAAGAGGTTTTACAATCTACACTTCCCCCTCCCCAGCAACAAATGATAATTACTCCAGATTGCTTGTGTGATTAGATAATGCTCCAAGCCCGTGCCAGGTGAAAACAGGAAGCATGAGGGGAAATTGCCTGCCAGTTCTGGCCATTAAGAAAAACCTGGGAAAGGCTTTAGGAAGTTGGAAGAATGAGTAACAGGAGTATCTGGAACCAGGTCCCCTGCCAGATCATTTTGGTCTCTGAACTTCCAGACTAGCTCAGGCCCTCTGTGTCATGGCCAGTAACAAGCCCCTTGCTCTCCACTTGGTCTTCATTCTCCCCAGGCAAGGGGAGAGGGGCTGAAGTCTGGATTGACCCCTTATGTGAGACTTACAGCTATCTGGACAGGAAGTAGTGCAAAGGGAAGAGCAGGGGCTTGCGAAGCTGACCTGACTGCAAACCATGCCTGGCTCTGCCACTGACTAGTTCTATGATTTGGGGCAAGGCGCTTCGCCTCTCTGAGGCCTTCCCTTGTCTGTGAGTGGGAATGAGATACATACCACGCAAGTTGGTTGAAAGGATGAAGTGAGAGCATGTAATGGAAGGTGCCTGACACATCAGAGGTGCTCAAAAGCTGCCAGTTAACATGCGGATCTTCTTCTCCCTGTTGGATGGATGCTTGAACACTTCCTGGGACAGAAAGCTCACTCCCTCTGGAAGCAGCCCACTCCACCTTCCAACACCTCTGACTGACAAAGAGCTCCTTCCTTCTGTTGAGCTGAAAAGTGGCTGGCAGTGGCTTTTAGTCCCTGTCCCCATTCTACCCCTGAGACCACATGCAACCCCTCCCTCTCCCCCCAGGCAAAAGAGCCTGTTTCCTTCAAATCATGACTTTGAGTACCTTCACCATTCTGGTCACCTTTGCAAAAATTCAGCACGACTGGACTGTCAGTGAAGACAAACGTTTGAGACCAGAGCTGACCTGGTCACATGTGAGGAAGGCCATACATTGGTTAAGACTTTGGCACAGGGCAGACCTTGGTTCTAACACTTCGGTGAGTTACTTAGACTCTCTGCAGTCAGATTGGATTTCTGTAAAAAGGGAAATGACTCTAAGTACCTGCCTCGTCGCCTTGTTGAAAGGAATGAATTAGATAATGCACAGAAAGTGCTTAGCACAAAGTATGGTGCATGCTAAGTGCTTGATACCTGTTGGGGAGGGGAAAGGGACATGTTTAAAACTGTGACTCTCCTGCCCTCCAGTTGCTAAACCTGCCCTTCTACCCCGAGATGCTAGGCACAGAGCTGGGCTCAATCTGTGTGGTGACAAATCGCCTATCCTGAGGTGGAGTCAGGGCTGTGCGTACTGACCAGTGTCACAGGGTAGGGGGACCAGGTGGCAGCACAGCAACCAATCCGCTGGTGAAGGCCCTACCAGCTGTGACCACCAGGGGGCACCCCAGCTCCAGAAGTCCCTGCCAGCAGGCCACCTCTTCATCCAAGGTTGTCTCTGTTCCTTGGAGGTAAACTGGGAAAGTGACAGCCTCAGGCGTGGTCGGTCAGAATGTCCCAGACTGGACCCTGGCAACAGGCCTGAGTTCTAGCCCTAACTCTGCCACCAATGACCTTGGGCAAGGCACTCCCCTCAGGCCCAGCTGACAGGGTTGGAATAGACTTGGAGGTCTCTTCCAGTGCTGACATTCCACACTCCTAGGATTCTGAGACAGGGAATTGTCCCCTTCTCACCGCTAGCCCTTCTCCACCTCAGGGCAGCACACACGCTCCAGCCAGCAGCTTCCTCCCTGAAACAGTGAACTTGGTCAGGAAAGCCAGTTCCCCCATTTCAAAGTATTGGGGACTCTGCAGTCACCTGGCAGGAGAGAAGGGGTAGTGAGTAGGAGGTGGAAAGGCAAGGACAGGTGAGCCAAGAGCTACTAAGGGTCTTGCTTCATTTGGGACAGACATCTGGTTTTCTCTGGCCTCTGCCAGGATTATGGGGGCTTAAAGGAATGAGTCATGTGGGGGGACTGGGAAGTTCCCGGCTAATCAGCTCCGGAAAGCCTGTAACTTGGGGTGATGCCTATCAAAGTTGAGTGAGGCAGAAGGTGAAACTCCAATGTCTCTACCTCAGGTTCCTGGCCCCTCAGGAGGGGGACCGAGGAAGGAAGCCTCCTGGAAGTTTAGGGATTAAGAAGGGGGACAATTCACTTCTTCCTTCTCTCCCAGAATTTGGGGGTTTGGGGAATAGGTGGTTTGAGAATCCCAAGGGAGAGGGGCAAAGGAGCTGCCCCAGCCCCGGGCTGGAGAGGGGAGGGGGCAGGAAGGGCAGTCCTGAGGCCGGCCTCCTCCCTCATCAGTCTGACCTGACTCCAGCGTCCATCGCTTTTACCCTACCCGGGGCTCAGCTTTTGTTCAGCTGTTCCGTTCAAACACCCTGGGGCACTTCAGGCCTGGGTGGGGCTGAGGGGTGGGGGGAGAGGGTTTGAGAGGGACCATACGTCAAAGAGCAGAGATTCCACAATTTCACAAAACTTTCGCAAACAGCTTTTTGAACCAACCCCCCTGCATTGTCCTGGACGTGAAATTTGCATAAATCCTGGGAAGTTATTACTAAGCGTTAGTCGTGGCCCCAGGTAATTTCCTCCCAGGCCTTGATGGGGTTCTGTATAAAGGCCCTCGCGAACCGGCCCCTGGCAGAGCCCAGAGCCTGCAGCCCAGACCCATCCAGACCCTCGGCTGAGTCTGCCCCCATAGCCCCATGAAGCTGATGGGTGAGTGTCCTGCCGATGCGGTATGAGAGCTGCCTGCTGCGGGCATGGGAGGGAAGCAGAGTGACAGAGGGGCTGGGGAGACCGCCGGTTCTGGGAATAGGGGTTAGGGCCACCCAGTGACCCTAGCGAGGGGCCTGGTGGAAGAGGATGAGCCTGTGCCCTGAGCCCATGTCTGTTCCCAGCCCTGCTTCTGCTGCTCTGGCACACTGCACTTTGGCCGGTGCAAGAGGCCACCCCCCTGGGTCCTGCCAGCTCCCTGCCCCCAAGCTTCCTGCTCCAGTGCTTAGAGCAAGTGAGGAAGATCCGGGCCGATGGAGCGGTGCTGCAGGAGAGGCTGGTGAGTGGGGAAGGCGGCAGACACAGATGCCCTGAGAGGAGACAGTGGGGAGATCTGCAGGGAAGGGGGTAAGGGCCACGGGAGGAGAGGGAGATAGAGGAAGACACCAGAGGAGAGGTGCCAGGGAGGGACAGGAGAGGGAGACATACATGAGACAAATGGAAGAAAATCTGGAGCCCAGTGGCAAGGAGCCTGGGGAGCAGAACCTCTGGAGATGGGGCTGGAGTGGGAGTGGAGGCATTGGGTCAGAGGGGAGAGGGCCGGGGGCATCACCAGTGGGGGACAGGGCAGAGTGGGGCTGAGAAGCCTGGTAGGATATGGGGTGAGGGGGAGACTACAGAGAGGTGAGGAGGATCAGGACGGAGGGGCAGCCACCCTGGCAGTTGCCCCTCACTCTGCATCTCCCCATCCCCAGTGTGCCACCCACAAGCTGTGCCACCCTGAGGAGCTGGTGCTGCTCGGACACTCCCTGGGCATCGCCCAGGCTCCCCTGAGCAGCTGCTCCAGCCAGACCCTGGAGGTGGTGAGTGTCTGGAGGGTAGGAAGGAGGAGGGGGGACCCACACACCCTGTGCCTGGGCTCCCCAGATTGCCAGGCGCCAAGCTGGGGGCCTGAGAGGGCATTCCAGCCAGCCAGTCACTCCCTAACCCTCAAATTGTGTCCCCCCAGGTGGACTGCCTGAGCCAACTCCATGGTGGACTCTTCCTCTACCAGGGCCTCCTGCAGGCCCTGGCCGGGATTTCCCCCGAGGTCACCCCCACCTTGGACCTGCTGCAGCTCGATGTCAAGGACTTTGCCATCAACATCCGGCAGCAGGTGAGCCTGCTCTGGAGCAGAGCTGAGAAAGACAAAGGGCCTTGATGGACCCGGGCCCCAAAGGCCATGCTCATGCGGCTCACAGGGCAGGGGGTGTGTGCCTGGGATCCTGGCTGTTCTCTAGGGTTGGGATGGGAGCATTCTTTAGGGCCTGTATATTGGGACCAGCACTGCACCCCAGGGCCCTCTCTCTGCTGGCCCACCTCTACTTCTCCTAGTTGACAACAGGGGACAGATCACTGGACCTTGAAATAGGAGACCTGGGTTCAGGTCCTGATTCTACCATTAACCATGTGATCTACAGTCTACCAGCTCTCTGAGCATTTCATTTGTAGTAACGCCCACTCAGCAGGCCTGATTACTGACCTCATCTTTTCCCCCACAGATGGAAGACCTGGGGGTGGCCCCTACAGGGCAGCCCACCCAAGGCCCCATGCTGACCTTCACCTCTGCCTTCCAGCGCCAGGCAGGAGGTGTCCTGGTTGCCTCCAACCTGCAGAGCTTCCTGGAGCAGGCATATCGGGTTCTGCGCTACCTTGCCCAGCCCTGAGCAAACCCTACCTGTGTAGTGTATTTACCACTATTTAATATTTATCTTTATATTTAAACCTAATATTTAAAGAAGGAAGAACGGGAAAGAGCCCCAGATTTCTGGGCCTTTCCCTCTATCTCCCTGTCCTCTGGTCCCCTGGACTGGAAGGTAGATAGGTAAATACCAAGTATTTATTCCTGTGATGGCTCCCGTGCCTGGCTATGTGATAGGTACTGGGAAGAGCCGCCATGAACCCCTTGCCCCAAGGGCACCCACCTTAGAGCCCTTGGGAGCACTAGGAGGTCTCCCACGTGGGAGACAAGACATCCCTGTTTAATATTTAAACAGCAGTGTTCCCCAACTGGGTCCCTGTAACCCACACTCTGGCCTCCACTTGCCTCGTGTACCACCAGGTCTGCCGGTCCTGCTTTCCTTCCCATTCCTCTTCCCCACAGGCACCAAGGCCTGGACAAGCAGAGGCGCCAGAGCTGGGAGGCTTGGCCCTGGGGTCTCATGACTTGGCTGGGGACTGTAGCTTTACTTTTTAAGAGTTTTTGGGCATGTTTTGACTCCCAGCAAGGAACTGAGGCATCACTGGCGTTTCTCACGTTTTTCGGGATGCCCTACAAAGACCCAACAGGTGCATGACAGGCGCACAACACCCGCCCACGCCCCACCAGGGTAGGGTCAGGACTCGGACAACTTTTACTGTCCGGCAGATGGTCGTGTGTTTGCCCTCCTGGACTGGGGCTGGGACTGTGGGAGGAAAATGATGGCAGGGAGCGGGTGGGGGGGGGTGGCGACACAAGAGGCTGACAGGGAATCTCAGCTGTTCACCCTCTGCCTGTGCCCCAACCCTCTCACCGCAGCCAAGCTTCAGGATAATAAAGTGTTTGTCTCCACAAAACGTCTCCCTCCTTCTTAGTCCAGCTGGTGCCTGGCCAGGGGTTAAGGGTGGTGGTGAACGGCAGGAGGGGCTGGAGGGAGGGGAGGAGGAGGTGCGGGGACATTCCATCTTTGGCATTTATTTATTTGAGCACTTACTCTGTGCAAACACTGGGCTAAATGTAGGGACCCAGCAGTGACCAAAGCAGACACAGTCCCTGTGCTAGCCATAGCCTAGTGGAGAAGACAGGACAGACCGATCATCGGTGCAGGGAGAGGAGAGGGAACTGGTCTCCATCGCACACTCGTCTCCATTGCGCACTCGTCTCCATCCCGCACCCTTCAGACTGGGCTGAAGCACAGGGCTCGTCCATTTACTGCCTTCCATAAACACGAGCTCATCCACCTCACAACTACCCACAAAGACAGAAATATCAGGGGCCTTTTACAGATTAGGATGCAACTTCAAGGTAACAGCTCGGGTCAGAACTCAAATTTCAGGCTCTGCACTCCTCTCCCTCATCAAACTCTGCCTCTGACCTGGCCGATCAAGCTCATTGCCGCTTGTCACTTTCCTGCTAGCCTCATGTTCATGGTCTGATTAGGCCTGAGCTCACACCTGAGGACAGTGGGGAGACATGTAGGAAATGGTGTTCCCACGATAGGTGCCAGGTCAGGCTCTTCATGCACTGCAGCCAAAGACTCATGTTTGGATCCCCGTCGCCCCCACTAGACGCGCGGAGGTGAAGATGGCCAAACAGTCCCTGTTCCACCATCCTTGGCTCCTCAGTCACCTCTCACTGCCCTCCCTTCCCCATACAGTTCCTTAGAAAGCAGGGTCTGGCCAAGCAAGGCTAAGAACCACCCAGCTGCACAGCTCGGAGTCCTCCATTTCTGTCTGTCCTGAAGAAACTGGGAGATGTGTGGAGCAAGCAAGAAAGAGTTAAACAGAGTTCCTGTCCCTCATCCCCCCAAGGCCTTCTCTTGAGAGGACAGACGAGGCTCTGGGCAAGTCAGACTGTGGGTGGGGTTGGGCTGGGTTGGGAATAACAGAACAGAACACCCTAACCTAGCATCAGTGGGGCCTTTAGCCAAAGCCTCTCCCTTCTGAGGGTAAGTCTGACTTTGCAGGGTGGCGGGATAGGGTGGCTGCTCTCACCTCCCTGGCCCTTCCCTGAGCTGAGGGAACAAACATGGAAACCTGAGCCTAGCCTTCCTGGGCACCTCCTCCTCCTCCTCCTCCTCCTCCTTCTTCTCAACCACAGGACTGAGCCTCTCCCCAGGAAGCAGCACAAGGGATTCCAAGAAAACATTGATTCCCCACCCCCAGGGAGGCACAGGCCCTGGCGCAGTCACAGTCACAAAGGGATCCACAAAGATCTTTATTTACAAGTCAGCCGATAGGAGTGAACACCCCCTCATCTATAAATATATATATACACACACATATTATGCATCTATCAAGTTCCTCCAAGGCAAATCTACTCTTGGTGACTGCCCTGGGGCTAAGGAGGCCAGATGCTCACCTCCCAGGAACTGGCAGAGAGGAAAGGAAATTACGAAAGAAACTGGGGGATGTCTTAGAGGTTAGAAGTCAGAGGAAGAGGAAAAAGATCGGGAAACCCACGAAGGGCTCTTCTGTCATGTGGATATGAGCAATGATGTCTCATCTTTCCTCACTGTTCCCTTCAGAGACGCATGGGGCTGGGGACCCTCCAGCCACCCCGTGTGGCAGCTCCAAGGCCCTTAGAGGGCAGCAATGGCTTTGGCAGCCACCTGGCGGCCCAGGGGCAGGCTGAGGTCCGTGATGGCCAGAACAACCTTGGGGCTGGACATGGCTGACACCTTCACCAGTTCCGATACCTGCCACAGACAGACAGAGCTGCTCACTAGGGCCACCTCACGGCAGGTTGGTTTGATGTCCTGGGAGGGAAGGAGGCCCCCTCCCTACTCTGAGGGCTGGCCCTGAACCCCCAAACTTGGCTAGGAGGTGCTAAGCCATCTGATCTGGAGGCAGGCCACCCGGCCGCAGGCGAGGTGCTCACCGTGGTAAAGGGCATGAACTGCAGGATGCTGCCCCGGCTGCCCTGCTCCAGGCAGTCCACACACTCCTCCATGAACCATTGCACAAACTGGGTGTGGGGGCCCGCGGTCCGTGACCCCAGGATGGAGGAAATGAGCAGGAAGAGACTGGCTGTGTGGAAGAAGGAGAGCGAGATGGGAATTCCATGAGAAGGGTCTTCTCAGGAAGACAGATTCTGGGGGAAGATGGGAGGGAAACAGGAAAAGGAAAACATGCTAAGAACGCCAAAAAATGGGGGTGGAAGAGGTAGTGTAAAGGGAAAATCGGAGGAGAACAGGAAAAGGGCCTAAGTGGGAAGCCTTGGGGAGACAGAGCTGGCAACGAGGGGAGATGGGCAAAATGGGTAGAGGGAGGCAAAGGGGCACCAGGAAGATCCCCTTCCAGCTGATGAGGTCTCTTGTCTCCCTCGAGGCAGGGGCTGAGGCTCCTCTCAGCTCGCCCCCAGGTTCCAGGGTGGGGTGGGAGGGACTTACCCAGGACACGGTTCAGAGGGTCTCTCATGTTGACCTTGTGGAGCTGGGAGGCGGACAGGGAGCTACTCATGGACCGGTCAGCTGTGGAATCAGCAGAGGGGGCACTGAGGAAACGGCCTACCACACTCTAAACTGACCTGCCCAAGGGAAGCCTCCTTGACAGTCCTTCAGCAATGTGGTGGGGTAAACGGTGTGTGGAGATCCCAGAGCAGACCCTTAGATCAAGGATCATAGGGTTCTGTTAAGGGCGATGGAAAAATGTGGAAACAGATAGCGGTGACGGTTGTACAATATGATGAATGTAATTAATGTCACCAAATTGCACACATAAAAAATGATGAAATGGCAAAGGTTTTGTTATATATTCACCACAAAATGGGGGTGGGGGCACTTGAATACAGAGAGATCTGCACAGGGGGGACAAGAGAAGAGCTAATATGTGGTGAGCACCACCATGTGCCCATTTGGGGCTCGACATGGATTAAGCCGCTTATTCCTCACCATTTTACAAACGAAGAAACTGAGACCCAGAAACGTGAAGCAACTAGCTAAAGGTCATGGGGTTCGTAGGTGGCAAGCCCAGCACCTTTTCTCTGCTCAAGCACACAGTTGGTCCCCTAGTCGCTAAAAGGCCCCAAAGAAACTTCTAGGCTCAGGAGAAATCTCTAGAAACAAGTAAAAGTAAATGGCACAGAAGGAGCCCTTGGCAGAGAGAGAAGGCTCCTGCAGGAAGTCTGGGCTGGGAGGGGAGGAAAGTGCGAAGGTTATATCTAGGGAAGTCCAGAGCCGGGGAGGGGTGCTCTTGAGGCAGGAAGAGTGGGGAGTAGCCCCATGTCCTCGCCCGAGCCTGTTCTAGGCCTTCGGACGTGTGTCAAGGAAGGAAGGTCAGAGCTGGTGAGTCAATGGCACAGAGCGTGCCTGAGGCAATCAACTCCCGTGGGTAGCTCGTCATCCTCTCAACCATATGGCTCAGTAAGGAAGGGGTGGGGGAGGGACAACGGTATGTGGCGGGGGCGCAGGGGGGGCTCCTTTTCTAAGGTTTGAGCAGAGGAGCTTCAACCCTTAGGGAGAGATACAGAGCAACCATCTGTCCAGAGGTAGGACACAGAATACCCTCTTAGAGTACAGAAGGAGGCAAACCCCTGCCACAGCCACTCTGATGAGTTAGTGAACATGCTGGCAGCTGGGAAGAGAGCACAGCAGCTTTCCCAGTGGGAGCAAGTTCCCAGGAGGCGAAGGAGCCAACCGAGGACCTGCCGCATACTCACTTGGACTCGAGAGGATGTTGGCGTCCTCCTCGTTGGAGCTCAGCAGTCGCATCAGCTTGGACGGCTGCATGTCGTCCAAGGGGAAGAGGCTGATGTAATCCTAGAAGGCAGGAGAGCCACTCGGACCCACCCTGAGCTCCAAATCCATCCTCGGGGAAGAGGACTGGAGCCCAGACTTGGGTGGGCAAGTCACTCCCCACAGCCATTAGGAGTATTTGCAGGGGTCACCTTCCCTCCCATCTTAGTCCCCTCTCCTCATCCCTCCACAGGGATGGCAAACAGCAAGTGCTCCCCTCTTCCAGGACTGCC